CAGAGGGTTAGTCATGCTGCATTTGGGCAAACATCCACTAAAGCAGTCAAAAGAAGATGTTTGATCAAACAGCCAACTACTGTGCTTCGTTTCCTTTGATCTGTTATGTAAAGACAGCGTTAAGGTGAAGGAACAAAATGTTTGAGTTTTTACTTTACTAAGGAACCAAGGCTGGATACGATCTAAGAGGATGAAGTAACTGCTGTGGACTGAATAAGCTGAGTGGAAAACAAGCTGAGGGGAAGTGAGAGACTAGCATTTGGGTTCAGGTCTTCTGGTGGTTTGTCCTTTAGACACCCTCACACAGTCTTGCACAACAGTACAGTCCAAATAAATACAAGGTTATGTCAGCTTCCACAAGAACTCAGTCTCATTCACGCATTTTCAGTGGCCATTCCTGACAGCCACTACTCTGTCAGAACCTGCAGCTGAGACACAGATAGACATCAACATCAAGCTGAGAACATGCACAGCTCCCACCCCTAGCACAGAGCCAGGGAAATGCCTTAAGGCACATTACCTTCCCGTTCTATTTGGTAGTGTTGCAACTTAGCCTGTAAACACTACCTTCCATCATTCTCAGTGACTCTCACAATATACATCATGCACAAGGTCAAACAGAGTCCTGAGACCTAAGTGCAGAAAACAGAAAAGGAACAATTCTTCCCCAGCCATTTGTTTGTAGAAGAGCATATCCACCTGTGTCGATACTGTTGACTCAGAATTGTCTTAACAATGAGATTATTACTGTCAAGGTTTATTGCACTAATAATCAAAAGAATTCCCAGTATGGGAAAAATCTGTTTGAAATTTCAGATGTTAACATCTGAGAGCTTCCATTATAGTTTTACAGTACTTGAATTGAAACCTTGGATCCAATTTTGACTACAGTAATTAGGTAAGATACATTTCATAATCTTATAATGATTTAAATGAGATGGAATAAGATTAAAGTGAACATTTCAGCGTTTAAGAAATCATCAAAATACTGTTTGCAAGTTCCTCTGAGAAAAGCATGAAGTATGTGAAGTAACCTGTGCCTAATGTTTTGTTACACAGTAATGCACTGTCACTTAAAACAGGTCAGGCTGTAAGTTCTAGGCTAAAATACAGCTATTTTGCTCAGGCAAGCAAGATGTAAGAGAATACTTAGCTGTATTTTTTCCACAGGGGGAAAAAAGTTTACCAAACCTCTGTAGATGACTGAAAATAAGCTTCACCACAGCTCCTGAAGGCCTGTTTACTCTCAGAACACAACAGAGCTAGGATTTCCAACTGTACTAGAGTTGAAGTTCGACTGGGTGGAACTTCACCATGACAAAGTTCAAGCTTTTATCTTACTAAGTCACGTGGGCTCTGCACAGCAAGCCAGGCTGTAAAAGTGTCATCGCCAGTGAGTTAAGTATCAAGCTTCTTCACTTGCTATTTTTACACCACTGCTTCATAGTCTGAAAGCTAACCAAAGCTAAACAATGCAAATATACAACTCTGCACACACAGGGCTTTTTTTTTTTTTTTTTTTTTTAAGTAATCTTTAGTCTGCACAGACTCAATACATGATCTATCCCTACAGCTGAAATCATCTTGAGCTGAACAAGAGGAGGACATCAGAACTTCACACACGAGAAGTTTTAAGAGGTAAAGTACATTGGTGTTTTCCTAATCGGACAAAATAGAAAGAGAATGTGACACATGCTTTGGCAGTACATTTAGCCACTATTTGTAAGGTCATGGTAAAGCAGATTATAAAAGGTCTACCTCTGATTCCTGGATCAGAGTTAAGTGGGAATCTACCAATAACTGAGACAAACCACGTATTTGGCAAAGTTGCTTTAGTTTTGCTTATCATCATTAAAATGGAGCTCTGCATCTTTTCCCAGTTCTGTCCAAAATGGCTGTAAGCAATCGCTTAAGTTACATCCTCCATGCCAGTTGAGTCAAGCTATGCTTGAGTACAGCTTTGTGTGTCATGACCTGTCTCATCATCACACGACTGTGAGCTCAAAACTCAGTTCCAGCTGGATTCTGGAACACTGCCAATGAAGAAAGGTCAAGCTTTACCATAGACTGCATTACTTCATGTAGTCTAGCATCAACAAGTGATAAGAACACACAGCATATCACTACTGATCCACTTCTGCAGTGTTGGTTTGACATCCCCAACCCTACAGCAAACAAACTCTAAGTGCAGAAAGGTTTGAGTTAAGGTAAGGGTAGAAGTGCCTTTAAAACTTCAAGAATTAAGGTACAATAAGGCTTAAATATGAGTTTTCCTTACTTGCACTGGTGTTCTGTGACACAGACCATACAGTACACGTGCACCCAAGTCAGCCCAGCCTCCTTGAGTAGCTAGAACTGGGAAAAACAGTCACAGGGCACACATCTGTCTTCTCCCCAAGCACAAGCCAGTCCACAGACAATGAAGACCAAATAATTTGGAGAAATGAGGGACGTTTGAATGAAATTCTTCTGCATATCAAATGTTTATTACAATAGAACAATGAGAACATTGCTTTTCTTTTTCACTATGGTGGTTACTGTTGATATTTCAGTTAAAAGCTTATTATCAGTAGGGAAAAAAAAAAAATCTATGGCACCTTCCCCCTTCCCCAGCATCCAAGTAAAGTAGGCTATAAAGGCCTGGTTGTAACACAATGAATGCATTTTTCATGACTCAGTGTTCATTGTCTGAAATAACTATCTGTGATGTTAAAAAAGTAGCTCTTAACACACCTGAAAATGCATCTTGTAAGAATGCCAAGCTGCTAGTGAATTCCCGAGCTACGTGTGTCTTTGAAGTTTTCCTCACAGCAAACTTCCAAGTTAAGCTATTTAAGGTCTCAAAACTAGTATTATTACAACCTCATACTTTGAAACAATGCAAACTGTAAAACAGTTTAGTACCTGGAAATTCATCTCTAGCATAGATCTACATGTATTACACTGTTTGCATTCAAAATATTTTCTTGACATCATGAACTGAGGCCCATAATTTGTAAGCTGGTAGATGTTCCTTTACATTCCTTCTCAGCCAGCAATTACTTACAGATAAAAATAAAACAGTTTAAAAAGAAAGATTAATTAGTGGAACCCAAACTCACAATATACTCAGGCACTCACAGGTGAATTGTGGGTTCAAGTATTCAAACAGCCTTTTTCTCCAAGATGAGTATACATATAGCATTATTTGGCAATTCAGCACGACTGATTTTATGGATGCTATGTCATGGTTACCTACACACTGCTTAGTAGACAGTTACCATGACTAGCTTTCACCAGACAATGAGCTAGCTGGTTCAAGAAAGGAATTCAGGTCTTAATTTTTGCAGTGTACTTCAGGCAATAACTATCTGATCCAAACCTACCTTAGAGTTTTCCCCAGAAAAGATGTAGTAATTCCATATACTCACTCATCTCCTGCTACAGCCTACTTCAACAAACACACTGCAATAATGGAATCTGCTATGTTCTTTGACAAGTCCTAACACTTCAGAAAACAGTCTAGGAATAGAGGGAAATGAGAAGACATACCCCTGAAGAAGCTTTAGTTTTCAAAACACACATTTCAAATTCTTTGTACTATTACAGATACACATCTAAAAAAAAAAAATAATTGGAAGAGGTTGAGCAATTCTCTAACACGTAACTGTAAATTTTATTGCAACAACCTACCCAACAAGTATTTGATTTTACTAGAGCAGAACACAGTCAAAACAAGTGAGATTGTGTCAAGTCACGTAAACACTCTTAATTCTCATAATACATAGCCATAAATGGATTTTATTACTTTGCTTGCTTGAAAAATAGCATCTTATCCTTCCAGTGTTGCCTAAATCCCCTTTAAAAGAAGATTTTACTTTGTAATACCTGTCATGATCAGCTTATAAGCACAAAGTGGTCAACCTTAAGTGCAACCACACCATTTGAATTAAAACAAAGACAGCCTCAGAAGGTACATACTAACTGCCTAACTCATTCTACGTCATTTCAATATTACTGTGGAAGATGTTTCCTCATTCTTCTTCTTCTTCTGCTGGAGTTTAGTGTTACTCTGACTTAACAACATTCAGGTTTCTTCAGCCTAGCCTCTACCCTAAACTAGTACAATTTACAGTAGAAATAGTGATATTGTCCAGATAAAGGTTATCTGCCCATATCAGTAAAATTAAAAATAGTGTTTGTGTTAAACATTCTATTAAAACCTCCACAAACCCTGTGTCACAATGCCCTTTCTACCACATAGTCAGTATGTGTCTTTAGCCATTATTTTGTAAATATTACCTTACAACATGCAATGAGGCATGAGGCACACTGTTTCTTGCCCATAAAGCAAAAAGTAGAGCTGGGTGGGAGGGTGAGGCAAGCAACTGCAATAAAAGCTGAACTTTTGGGTAATATAACTTTTATTTGGGTACTATAACTTTTGGATAATATATGAACTATTAATAACTCTCCTTCAATAGAATTTGTGAACGGTGAAAAACTGGATGAACTTCTGACAATTCTGCAAATTGCAAATGAAGATTTTGAATGAAAATAACAGAAGATTATTTAGCAACTAGAAGCTTAAGAACGTTAAGAAACGTATCATGAACAAAACTCACATTGTAGTAGGAAAGCAGCTTTTTCCCATTCATATGGTACATGGTCCCAGGCACTGCTGTATCAGAGATTTGAGCAGCACTCTTTTGAATACTTCACAAGTTTTAAATGAAGTTCTGAACAGGAGTTTTGCCATGCTAAAGCTGAACAGAAGAACTTTAAGTCACTGCCACTCCCTCTCCCATTAATTCCCAGTGTCAGCCTTGAGACCAAAGCCTTTGTATGCCATCAGGCATACAAATAGCAGTCCAAATAGCTTGTGTTCTGAAATAAACACCAATTCCCCAAAACTTCAACAGCTTCTGCACAAGGAAACCACACAAATGAAGGCATGAACTTGCTAGATTAAAATAAATTGAAGACATGCTCACAAAAAAAAAGACAACATGTAGCCCAGAGTTGTTTAAATGGTTTTATTTCAGAAATAAGAGAAAGACAGTATTATCCATTCAGCAGAGACCACCAAAATTAAAGATTAAGTCTTGCTTACTCTTTTCCGAGACTCATTAGGATTCCATCTGCCAGAGAAATACTCCCACCAAGCCACACAGCTCTTCCAGCTCCCACCAGCCTGATCAGGCAAATAGGGTAAAATAAACTAAAATTTTATTTTACTGCATCACAGATGGCTTTTCACAACAGATCAGTAGACAGCATTCTAACAGCTATGTTTCTATTTAGTGAAAGCACTAACAACTTTTTAATAACAATCTGCCATCAGTTCTCATAATGCGAACCCATACTTGAAAGTTGAATCAAGAAGCATACCTATTCAAAATACAACTCAAGATAGATCCTCAGAAGAATCAAATATTGATTTTATGAATTGAAGTTGACATACTTGCTTAAGATCTATTAGCTGGGCTCTGAAATCCTTTGTATCATCATGCTTCTTCCAATCTGAATGCTAGTGAAGCTATGTTAGCAGACAAACAAGGAAAGGAAAAGGAAGTAATGCTGTATAACTAGAATCTGGACCAGTTACACATGTGCACTGATCTTTCTCTTTGGCAAAGGAAGAGGGAGAAATAACAGGCAAAGTAGTTATTAAAACTTGCCAGGATTTTAGATGCATGGCAGATTGCCTGATCCTACTGAGCACAGTTCAGAAACATTTCTTGGACTGTTAGGACTAACTTCAACATATAATGGGTAGGACGGATTTTTGTTCTAAACTGCAACAGTTAGCTTGAACATCAGTTATCCCATAACTCGGAAACACTTTCCAAATAATTGAGGAAAAAAAAATCAGTGGGATTTCAACCCTTATAAAACAATAGCTTAAGCCTTGGCTTTGTTTTATGCACATATGGTAAAGCATTCAGATGCCGACAGCGTACTTCCTTAGGCTAACACCATACATATTCAAGTGAGATAAGACCAGAAATTACATAATTATCATTTAATTGCACTCTGAACTTTAAATTCTAATATAAACGTTAATTTTTCATTGATTCATAAGACATTATTAAAGATTATACTCCAATATTGTAGACAAAAAGTATCACTAAGCTAAAGAAACACCTTTGGATCCAAGAGTGATTACTTTATAGTTCAAAGGTTTCCATTTTTTTTTTTTGTACCAATTAATTAGTTTACAAGCAGTAGACAAAATTCTGACATCTAAAATCAGGTTTTATACCTATATCTATCCATAGATACATGCACATTTAAACAAACATACAATTGCAGTTAATGTTTAATTCTGAAAAACAACCCTGGGGCTTGACAAATAGCAACATCAGATTATACTAGTAACAATTTCAAAAGCTATTGGGAATAGTTTTTATTAAATTAGTCTCTCTCTATTTAAATTCCTGTAAACTAGGAAGGACACTTCCACATCCCCCCCACCCCAAGGACTTGTAAGATGTAAATCAGTTTTGTTGTAAAACGTATACAATTAGAAAAATATTTGCCCCAAGTGATCCAAGGGAGATGGTGATCTCTGACCCAGCACTAATATGCATGGATTTATTACCTTAAAGTATTATTAGGAATAAAACTTACATATGTTGAGATTAACTTCAGTTAGGATCAACTTCCTATTCAGCTTCATTTTTAATTTTTTTTTTTTTTTTTTTTTTTTATAATGAACAAGAAAGAACCAGTTTTAGTAGAATTACTGCATATGTACTTTCCTTCTAGAAGGCAAAAATTAAACTCAAAATGTCTACAAATACCTACAGGTAACTATTTTATTAGCAATACTAAGCAGTATTAGCTTTTTAATGTGAACAAGTTCATCCACAAGGATAATCACAGTATCATTAGACAAGTTCCGTTGTGCGATTTAGCCAGAGTAGTTACAAAATAAAGAAACACTTTGATTAAACTTATGTTTCTTTCTAGAAAAACTTCTTAATCAGTTTCCTTGAAGACACTTTATATTGTTAGCAAGCAGTAAAGCACTAGTGTTGAAAGGCACTAGGATTGTTAGCTAGTGTAACTTACTGTTTTCAGTACAGATACAGGCACTTGAAAGCTTAATAAATCAAGCCTGTAAAATACTGCTGTATTTGTGCAGAAGTTTGCTACATTCATTAACATGTTCAACAAGTTGTCCTGCAGTCATGTGGAAACAAGATTCATAAGGTAAATCTCTGTAGCACACTTTACAAGTTGGATCTTTCTTTGGCAGACATGCGAGAGGTGGCTTGTGTGTACGTCTTAATTACATCCTAAAAATGATAAGAGAAATATTCAGAACAAGTTCCACAGAAAGTAGTCATAAGTCACTTCAGAAAGAATTGCATACTTATAGCAGCAATTTTGTTATTCTATGTAACAAGCACAGCATCTAGGCGAGTCTCAAATAAGTTGTTTTTTTTGTTTTTTTGTTTTTTTTAAAAGAGTACAGAAAATAGATGATTTGGTCTAAGGATCAACCTGAACAGCCTGCATTGCACTTACAGTTATCTTCCAGTACCTTTAAGAAACAACTAAAACAAGATTATCTTATATCACTGGTTAAGATATGTTTAATGTAGTTAGGAGTGATGCTTCCACATTTTTTAGATACCACATGCATTAATTCCTCCGATTTAAATCAAATGTAGATCAAAACTGATCTCTCACTTCGGTGGATTTATGGAAGAAATGAAAAAATCCAACCCATCAAAATTCAACTACACAAGTCATTAACGTACCTTTTTCCCACTTTCAGCATTGTATTTGTCCAGCAATGATTGAATACGGGCACCATAGTCAGGATGAACATCAGTGAAGTTTTTCACCTTAACAGGAAAAAAAAAAAAAAAAAAAAAACAAGACAAGAACTTGATTTCTCTCCATGAGATACTCTTCAATTTTTTCATATTCCATGGTCTATACCAGGACATATGAGGAACAGGAGGAGGAAAACACTTTTCCAAAAAAAAGATTTGAATCTGACCAGCCAGAAAGGAGCAATGAGTACAATGACTCACTGTTTCTATAATGCCAAATTTAGAGGTCTTTCCCAGTGGAATTTTATTTAAAATCAGGAAAGTTCCAGTTCCTCTCTGACACTGGCTCTCTTCCTTCTCTGTAGACAAACATCACAGAATCATCTAGCTTGGAATAGACTTCCAAGATCATCTAGTCCAACCTTTGGCCTAACACTACTGGCAGTCATCTGATTTTTTAAGTACTAAGGTAAACATATAATGACATCCCTGATGTTCAGCAATCTTATTATTTCCATCAGCAAAGTCATTTTAACATGTTCTACATTTATTCCTGTAACTATGCACACATGTAAGCATTCTGTAATCATAACTCCTGCACAAGAAAATCTAGAATTCCTGACCTTCTCCATAAGCATATTGATATTTTGATGAAAAGTTGCTACACTACATGGAAGTCTGGTATGAAGAGAGAAGACAAAAAATATCTAGGCTACTTACAGCTCTCTTCTGAATGAAGAGTTGAGCATCTTTAAGATGATCAGCAATATTTTTACACAGCCTTTGACGTTCATCCTCCTTCAGCACTTTGATATAGAAATCTCGCACCTTATAAATAGAAACAGTTTTATCTTGAAAATTCGACACTAAGCCATTCTGTGAGCCATTCTGTCCATAGTACTTGGACTTAAAATTCATTATTACTGAAAAAATAGCTTTCACTTACTAGTCAGGCAACACTTAAATACAACTCCAAAGGCAGCCAATTGGCAAGTTTGTTTTTTTTTTTTCCTCCAAGGAAACCTGCTAGCAACTCATTTCAAGCTTGAAATCACTGATTATTTAACTAGTGAAAACAAATATGCTCTTGGGCTCCAATTCACGAATTGATGATCATGACATTACATGTAAATTCTAGTTTTAGTATCTGTATACACCAGTTGCAGGAAAACTGAAAATCACTACCTCTAAATATCAACGCTCAAACATAGATGGCAGAGGTCTGTAAAAGTTCATTAACTGCCCTGTCAGCAAAAGGACAGTTATTCATCATTATTAAAATATACAGAGATCTTTCAAAGTTCTATAGTATCTGAACTTCAGGTTAGACCAAATGCTTCAGCAAAGAGATCCGTGATGGAATGTTCCTTGTTAGTATTCTTTAGACAGCCCATACACTCATCTTCTGTAATAAGCAGCATAAAAGCCTCATACATCATACCTGAGACACATTATCTTCATTTGCACTATTGAAACGCTGCACATCTCCTGAAATACACATGCGGCTCTCCTTCACAACAGGCTGATCTTCTGGACCAGTAAAACTGTTTGGATAATAGTTTGGGGCACCACCTGAGAAGTGAATACAAACAGGGATGGAAGGGGGAAAAAAGAAATCAGATGAAAAGAAATCAGATCTCAGGTTAATTTAGAAGAGAAAGTGTACTTTGCCTAAAAGAACCTAAAAAAATCAATTACAATTTACTTTATTAAAAACAGTTCTCAATTATACGTTGACCAAAGCTCAAGATCAGCTATCTTTCAGCCAGTGCTTAAAAAAGCACTTACTACAAGCAGGATTTACACAAGTCTTTGGGTAAAAAACAGGCTTTGTTTCAGAAATAAAGAGGTCTGGCCATTTTCAAAACACCATTGCTCAGAATTTTAATGAAATTGTGGAGGTCATTCAAGTTTTAGTTCAAAGGCAATATAAAAATATACTTCCAACTGCTTATTTGAAATAGGGTTACATTAAACTATGTAAGGGTCTATTTTAAACACAATTAACTTACAAGTCTTCTTAATTTTTTTTTTTTTTTGAATCTGCTCTTGGATCGGAGTAATTGTTTTCAAGTTCCTGTTTTTTAAAGTATTTCCGCCTCCTCCTTCAAGAAGTGTTAGGACCCATAGCCTGGAGGAATACATGCTTGCAGCATGAGGCATAGCTTAAGCGTATACTGGCTTACGCTTAGGTATAAATCAGTCACTATTGGACAAACACTGACAGAACATATCATGTAATAGAGGTAAAGTGAAAATTCCAGTCTTGACATTTATACTCCTGGCTTTCAGTTTCTTGGAAATCAGAAAGTAAAGCAGTTCAACTTTTTAATGAGTCTGTATTTGCCTTCTTAAAAGATTTAGTCTCTTCTATTTGTTAGAACAGATTTTTGCCTATACGTAAAAACAAAATAGCAATTAAGTTCCGTGAAACCAGTTGTCAGGCATATTTCTGAATTTTAAACAATTAATATTTCAGCACTTTTGAAATAAGTCCCTTTTAACAAGTATGTTACTAGACATACTTAAATGAACAAGCTAGAGACATAGCTGAATTCATTTGACTCGGGGTGTTCTGCAAGTGCCCTAATGATGACCTATCAGTAAGTTTTCAAAACACATCTTAAGCTTCACTTCGTTTAAAACCAAGTAAAGTTCCATTCTTACAGGAGTTTGTTTTTTTTTTTGTGGAGTTTACTCCACTCTTTGTGTGGAATTTACTCCACACAAATATCCAAACTCTGCTTTTCTGAAGTAATTCAAGAGATAGAGCCATTATATATTTACATAATTGGTGTATGTATACATATATGTGTGTATACACACAAATGAGTATTTGTGTGTATACTTGAGTATGCAAATGAGTATTTGTCACAAGTGACAGTTATATACACCAAATTGAAAACCCAGATAGGAACTATCAATTATTTGATACAAGGCAGAAGTAAAAATGAACGTCCACATCCTTCTGAAACATTAAAAAAATGCATAGAGAATGCATTCTGTAGTCTACGTATATATGCTTATGTAATGTTTATCACCATGTAAAAATAATTTTGGGCTATTAATATTTATTTAGTAAACATTTTATATCCCCTATGAACAGAAGAAACAGTATATGCAAGTATCATATTTAAAAGGATTTTCATTAATACCTTGGTTGTCAGTCACGCACATTGGTCCATCCCTCTGATAATTGGCTACACGAGCTCTGAAGGGGCAATTCACAGGAATTTGTAGGTAGTTAGGTCCCAGACGATGTCTATGTGTATCAGCATACGCAAAAAGACGACCCTTAAAAAATGCATAACATTAATAGATCTCTTTCAACCTTAGACTTAAAAATTTATTACATCTGAAATATGGTCTAGTACAAAGTGTCCTTGCCCATGACAGTTTGGATATGCACAAAGCAAGTGACACTGCCCTGCGTGATATCCTTGTCTGTAAGTGGGAGAAACACGGATTTAACATATAGACCACTCAGTAGATAAGGAACATCACAAACAGTTACAGTAAACAGCTCAACATTCAAGTGGAGACCAGTGACAAGTGGCATTTCTCAGGGATTGATATTGGGACCGGTGCTGTTGAACATCTTTGCCAGTAACACGGACAGTGGGATTGAGTGCACTCCCAGGAAATTTGCCAATGACACCACACCAAGTTATGTGATGCAGTCAACACACTGCAGGGAAGGGATGCCATCCAGAGGGACCTGATACAGGCTTGATAGGGGGGCTCGTGTAAGCATCATGAAGTTCAACAAGACCAAGTGAAAGGCTGTGCACCTGAATCAGGGCAATCTCAAGAACAGGCTGGGCCGAGAATGGATTAAGAGCAGCCCTAAGGATTATTGAAGGGTGTTGATTGATGCTGGCTCACGTTGGGCTTCTCAATCTGTGCTTACAGCCCAGAAAGCCAGACATATCCTGGGCTGCATCAAAAGAACGGTAAGCAGTTTGAGGGAGGTGATTCTCCCCTTCCACTCTACTCTCATGAGACCCCACCTGGAATACTGCAGCCTGCACTTAGGTCCTCAGCACAAGAGAGTCATGGACCCACTGGAGTGATTCCAGAGGAGGGCCACAACACTGGAAGGAGTGCTGGAGCAACTCTTCTAAGAAGACAGGTTGAGGGAGATGGGGTTGTTCAGCCTGGAGAAAAGAAGGCTGCAGGGAGACCTTATAGTGGTCTTCCAGTACCTAAAAGTGTCTACAAGAAAGCTGGAGAGGAACTCTTTACAAGGGTAAGCAGCAAAAGGACAAGGGGTAATGGCTTTATAAGCAAGATAGGGTAGATTCAGATTAAAGGAAGAAATTCTTTCACTAGGAGGGTGATGAGGCACTGGAAGAAGTTGCCCACAGAGGTTGTGGATGCCCCATCCCTGGAAGCATTTAAGGCCAGGTTGGATGAGGCTTTGAGCAACCTGGTCTAGTGGAAGGTGTCCCTGCCCATGGCAAGGGGACTGTAATGAGATGGTCTTTAAGGTCCCTTCCAACCAAAACCATTCTATGACTCTATGAAACAGTGACAGCAATACTTCCATAAACAAGGAAATACGAGATTTTGACCGTAGTTTACCTGCAGCATTTTATCAGGGCTAGGTTCAATACCAGGTGGCATGTTGTTTGGATCATATGCCATCTGTTCTACCTCTGCAAAGTAATTGACAGGATTCCTGTTCAAAACAAGCTTTCCCACAGGAATGAGAGGGTAGTCACCATGTGGCCAGATCTATAAGACATTAAACACATGCATTAAAATAAACGTTGTATTATGTAGCTTAAATAATAAAACAGGCAAGAGCTACCTAATAGTCTCAATTGAGAGAATACATTACTGAAGTCATTTCTATTTTGCTAATAAACGTTGAGGAACGTCCAAGTCTTTTGCAATTCAGAGTATTTATGCAACTTATTTCATCACAGCATAATCTCAGCACTTGACTACTTAAATAAAATACCCACAGGCACTTGAAGAGATGCGTAGGAATGCAATATTGTAGGTGGAACTGGTAGCATGATTGTTTTCGGCTACTACAAAATATAACCAGCTTAACTAGCCTTTTCTTTCTCCTCTTGGCCTAAACTTTCAAGGTCAAAATTATTTGGCCATTTCAGGGGAGCAATATTAGAGGAAAAAAAATACAAGTCTGTTAGTCTTTCAACATGCCGTTCTTTGGAATAGCAAATAGAAATCTGACAAAAGATGAGACCAAGATCAGAAACTACACGATCAACAACATTCAAAACTAGCTAGCTCAGGGTGTGACTATGATCTGAGATCAGACTTTTGAAATGCAGTACAGTTGTAATCTACAAGCCCAAATCAAGCCCTAAACATATTTCACCAAGAAAGAACAACATCAGATTTTACACTATACCACAGGAATTGGATCTTATTTCCAACTTTCTGGATTAAATACCCAGCACTCAAAATTCAGTAACTGGACATGTTCCCCCCCATCCCACGCCCCAATATGTTTTACAGGTATATGATTTCATCTCTGGAATTTCTGACTCATCCTGACCATGTAATAAACAGCACACTTAAAAAAAAATGAAGTGATAGGAATAAAAGGGACAGACCAACTGTAGTCATAAGAACTGGACCCTAAACAGTGCTACTCTGCGGAACCTGTTTGCTTTATTTATGGATAAGCTTGTTTCTGGCACTTCCTAAATTTTCATCTCATGAACTCTTAAACAAGCTGAAATAAAATATTCACAGTTGTAGCAGATATACCTTAGTTAAATCAAAAGGATTAAATGGAAACTTCTCTGCTTCTTCAAATGTCATAACTTGAATGTAGAAAGACCAGGATGGGTAGTTGCCATGGGCTATGGCATTGTAAAGATCACGTATTCCATAATCAGGATCAGTAGAAGCCAGCCTTCCTGCTTCCTCAACAGAAAGATTTTTGATGCCCTGATCAGTCTAAAAGCAATGAAAGAAATAGAACCAGTTATAAGTGCAGAAATTACAAAAAAAAAAAAAAAACAAAAAAAACACAAAAACATGTTTTTAACAAGATTTAAGATTATGATTGTCCATCTCCTAATCCCCAGCAATTTAGGTTCAGAGTACATTCAGTAGTACACATTACATTCAACAGCTGCCTTCCAAATAAAAGTTAATTCTATGATAAAGTGCAAATTACAACAAGTCCAGATGAGGGCCACAAAGATGATCAAGAGGCTGGAGCACCTCTGTTACGAGGACAGACAGAGTTGGGGTTGTTCAGCCTGGAAAAGAGAAGGCTGCAGGGATATCATATAGTGGCCTCTTAGTATCTAAAGAAGAGCCTACAAGAAAGCTGGGACAGTAAACTGAAAAAGGGTAGATTTAATTTAGATAAGAAAAATTCTTCAGTATGAAAGGTGATAAAGGCACTGGAACAGGTTGCCCAGGTAAGTTGAAAGTCTTTAAGGCCAGAATGGATGGGGCTTTGAGCAACCTGGTCTAGTTGAAGGTGTCCCTGTCCATGGTGGAAGGGGGAAGAGGGGATTGAAGTTAGTGATCTTTAAGGTCCCTTCCAACCCAAACCATTCTGATTCTGTGAAATAAATGTAATACTATACTACAGAACAAAAATATGATACATCACATCAAATAGACGTTTCCCTTTACAGGTAGAGTATTCCTTTAGTATCTTATCATCCCATCCCTTCCTATAGGCCACATGCCAACACAAACTGATAAAAGGGTGGCCGCCTTCAATGCTGAACATCCTACACGATCTGTAATTTTTAAACTTTTTTCTCCTTCCCCTTAATTTCTGACACTTTTAGCACTGAAGTCTCATTTTTATAAGCTTCTGACACCTCAAAAGGTATAAGCTGCTATGCAATCCTTCTTGGTTTAACATAATGGTTTCTCAAGTCTTGCTCCAAAGGTGTGTCCAGCCTCTACTAACACCTAACAAAGTAAGAATCTGTGTTGCCTTTAAAACTGATGGGAAGTTGTTTCCAAGCAAGGTGTGCTACCAAGTACTTTCTGACAAAGTCATAAAAGTTCTGTAAGTTTCAGCCACAGAGCTCTTAGGAAGTGAGGATTATATTGCTTGACTCACATACAACTTGGAAATACTGTATCAATGTGACTCATATACAGAAGACTAACAGGAACAATAACCAGAGCCAGACAGAGAATTTTTACCTGAAGAAACAGCTGTTGAATCTGAACTACACTGTAGCCATGAACATATCACATACATTGAAACATTCCTAAACAGGAGCATCCTTCATTCGTTAGATGTATGCAACTGATGAAAAACATACACTATTTACATTTGGTCTATGCATGAATAAATGTTTTCTGAACTAAAAATTAACTCCAGAACATTCAGACAACCTTCGTTATTTTTTTTAAATTCAGTATGACATATCTTTCCAATAGATAACTGGAGAAGAACATACCTTCACATGAAACTTGCAATAAACTGCTTTCCCACTAGCATTAATCAGTTTAAAAGTATGTGATCCATATCCATTCATATGGCGATATCCATCAGGAATACCACGGTCACTAAACAAGAAAGACACCTAAAGAGAAGAACCCAACAACATTTGCTCATTCACCAGTACAAATAAAGGACCACTTGAGTCAAAGGTCACTTAAATTCATCTGCATCACTGGAAGTCATCTTAATGAGAGAAAATATTCTAGGATGTTATAGTTTAAGGTTCTAAGACTTAAACTAAGACTGCTTAGACTTTCCACATACAAGGATGTGAACTGAACTTGTGTGAAGAAGTATGGCCACATGAAATATTCGTTATCTTTACATTAATATTGCACATTAATGTTATCATTCTCCCTGTAAGCACAGGGCAGATAAGCATGGATAATTTAAATATACAATTTTCAACAGGTTTTAAAAAACATCTGAAATGCGAAGTCCTGAATAACTGATTTCTCAAGCAATAAACATACCACCATGCAAAGCTATTCCAAATGCAGCTTCCTTTAGGCTTATTACCACAAACAATACTTGTGATACCACTTCCCAAGCAGTAGTAACTGAAAGGCTTTCAGATTAATCCATTTTCTTGGATTCAATGCTTGGAATCAAAAAGATACAAATACTGAATTTTGTATTTGCTTTTTTTTTGGTATAACATTCTTCTCTATACATAATGTTAATATGCAGTTTGCTGATGATCGATATTCTCACTACTTTAATACTAAGAAAGTCCACTAACTTCCCCTTTACCTCTATGTAAAATATGATTATGGAAACAAAAATCCTGCCTATTTCATAGTCTATAAAAGAAAAGGCAAAACTAGAAAAACATGTCAAGAGCATTAAAAGTTATAGTAGGCCTCTGACCTTTAGTGTTCTTAAAAGATTACATTGGATCCAGATAAAGCAATTTCAGTTAAAAACTTATGTTGCCATGATATTCCAGAGAACCTTACCTGATGCAAAGACTCAGGGCGAAGACTCCAAAAGTCCCATACCATATCTGCATCCTTCAAATGAGTCTGAGGGTTCCTCTTTTGGCTATGGATGAAGGATGGAAACTAATTTGTCAGGGGGAGGGGAGGGAAAAAAAGTTTAACTTCATTTTCCAAGTCATACAGGATATGCTAAGCAACTTCTGGTACTGAATAAGATGTACAGTTTTTTTTTCCTTATACATTTTTATCTACAAAAGGAACAAGACACTGAAAGATGAGAAAGTTTTTCAAATTACCATAACTTCACTGATTTGACACTAAAAGGAAAATATTTACAGTTATGATAAACAGGATGCTCAGAGCCAGACAATGCTTTCAACTTCTGCCCAATAAAATAAGGCAAGCACTCAGATTTCATATAAACTATTGGATATTTAACTCCAAAATGAATATAGAGATAAAACATTATAAAAGATTAATCTAAGTCATACAGAACAACCCTACTCTTAGGAAAGTCCCCTCTTCTTACAGATACAAAGTACAGTTAAACTTACTCAAATAGTCAGATTTAATACAAAAGAATTTAAAGAAGCTTTTCAACTTTCCTTTGAATAGCCTTGAAATTTAAGACATCTACAGAGTAAAATAGCTATTTCTAATACCAGTGAAGCTGAAATGACTTGAGGGTTAAAATCACAATTATTCACCTGATGGCTATTATGCAGAGACACGTGCAACAGCAAACAGCTAAGCATGTGTGGTATCAAAGTACTAACATAAGTAATCAAGCTTTATCTCTTACTGAAGTTTTTTTTAAATACCACCTTATCAAATCAAAAACCATTGGAACATCCAATGGATAGAGTAAGCATGTCAAAACATGGAATTTTGCTTCTCGGTGAAACAAGAATAAGATGTGAACAAGCTTTTGGACTCTTTCACAAAGTACCGTTGTCTTCGGTGCTTACTTACCAACATTGCATCCCGAATAAAGAAGATAGGAGTATTGTTTCCCACAAGATCCCAGTTACCCTCTTCTGTATAAAATTTCATTGCAAACCCTCGAGGGTCACGAACTGTATCAGCTGACCCAGATTCTCCAGCTTGAAGAAACATAAGAACATATAGAAGTGTTACAGTATGAAACCAATTCTAAGCATAAAACTATGGAACTTTAGAATATGCCATAAGATCCTAGAAGAGTGTTTGGCTTGGATTTTTTTTTTTATTAAAATCTCTTCTTTATTTTGTAATTTGTTATATTTGCCATAATACTTCAGACAGTGCCTGAAGCTTCCAAAGTGTAAATAGACACCCACCCAAGCATGCAGGCCATAGTTGATGCAAATTCTACTCTTTATTGGTTTGAGTGGATGTACTTGTTTGCTTTATCACTAACAGACATCAGATAAGGCTGAATTGGCAAAAAGTATATTAGTTTGTGCATTGAATCCCATTGTGAAAGCTCTCATTTGGAAGGTAGCAATCTAAGTAGTGTATGCAACTCATAGAAGAGTTGCAACGCTTCTAATTACCCCCCAGCTTTACCCAAAACAATCCTTTCAGTGGGTAGATTACACCACAGCAAAAGCATCCACCACGATACCTGATCAAAAGCGTTCTAGATGTATTCAGAAACAGTTAATGCTAGTCAGCATGATGAAATAATTAAGACACTCAATCTCCCTTGGAAAATCATTGTTTACTATGAAATAACTAGGAAGAAACATGTTTAAACATAGCAGGGAAAGGAAAGGTAACAATGCAACATACCACTTTAGCACAGTTTGCTCATCAAGCTCAGCTGCATGCTTTTTACCCCAACCCCCAGAGGACATTGCATGAGCACCTGAGTTCTGGTGACAGTAAAGGCTAGCAGGCCAAAAACAGCAGCTATTTGAGCCTTGTCCTCTTCCTCCCCTTCCCTTTTCTCCAAGACAATTTTCCAGAACTAAATTCTCATTAGAATTTTTTTAAACATAAAATAGTAACATACCTTTTTAAAGGTCATTTTTCTATCAGGTATAAGGTATTTCTTATAATGCACGTTTTACCTAATATCATTTAAGATTGTCAATTCATTCATTCAGCTCTTTAGAAAAAGAAAGAAGAATTTGTTTAGAGAAGATTATTTGCCTAGAGCTTATTTTCCACACCACTCATCTCAAAGTCATTAATACAGCAGAAGATTTCAAGCCTTCAAATTTCAAGCGTAGAATTGCAGTATGCAAGTTCATTTTTATGATCCATCCAGAAACAAAGTAAGCTTTCCATCACAACCAAAAATAGCAGACTACCATTTCTTTCTTCCACATTGTAAGGGAGAAAGTACCAACAGAAGTACCTACAGTGGGTTCTTGCCACAAGGCACAGACACTGCTTATCATTGTTTAAGGTCTTAAAAATTAAATGAAATTGACAGAAGAGGAATTAGGTGCCATAACATTTCAAAATATCTGAAGTTCAATTTCAGTGCTCTGTAATGCAAACATATCAATATCAGTGTTAACTATTAGTACCCATGTAAGAAGATACACAATAACTTCAGAGCCTTACCAACAGTTGAGAACCGTATAGCAATTGGTGTTCTTTTTCCAATGTGTTCAAACACTTTTGCCTTACAGTACTTCGTAATATCATGAGTCACTTCAAAATAGCCAAAAGCACCTGAAAAAAACATTTAGAAATATCAGATTATCAGGATACTTTCCTGCCACTTGCAGAGCACATTATTCAGTGCTGCCTGCTTGAACATCATAAAACAAAAAGAAATCATGGAAATACACCAGTTTAAATCTATGCACTAAATCACCCAAGAACAAAGTTTATATCACACACTACATACTGCTTGCACAGCATTTCCCCCTCCCCATCCTGAACACATCGTTAACAGTTCCTGGCAGCAATACAGGCCTTACTTCTGCTCTACAAAATAAACAGTAACTCTGAGTGCTTTTCTGCCAAGAGTTTACATATTTATCTCTGAGCAAGACATGTATTTCTTCAATCCTGGCATGCGTTGCAGCACTGTCGGTCCATCTTTAAACCAGATGAAGCAACACAGTTACTTTTACTCCCACAGGGGAATTTTTCTGTATACACTCACATTACAATAAGATTCAGTCCATAGTTTATAAGCTATATGTAACAAAACAGATGCCAGTTCCACAACTATGAAGGTACAGGCAGATGTTAAAACTGAATTACAAAAAAAAAAAATGTAAAAAGTCACTTTAAGCTTCACACACTTGATCCATCTACCTTCAGGTCAAAGATACTACAAGTGGTTCTAAACTAGGCTTTAATTCCTGTTCTTACTGTTATTAGTATAACTAGATCATAGATTACATTGTAATGCAACGCATCTATAACAATTGGTTATCTCAAAGATTTCTAAAGCCTAGTGCTGCATGAAGAAAAACACAAATAAGTATTAATGAAACATACCTGCTCCTTTTGCATGCACAACTCTTTCAGGAATCCTCTCTCTGTCAAAATGAGCCATCTCATCAGTGAAAACAACATCTTGAACCAGAAGAGGACCACGGGGCCCTACTGTCATAAGATTGAGCTTATCCCCAATTGGGTTCCCAGCTCCAGTGGTCAAGACATCTGGCCTCTGAAAGAGGAAGTCAGTATTAACACCAGAAGCCAAAAATCCTCTAAGCCACATAACACCCATACCTGGTCAACAGTTGTATCACAGGACATATCAAAGTACGTTAGAAAACAGCATAAGATTCTGGAAATTGTTACAGAAATCAGAGGCACAGCTGCATCAGCACAGTCCTATGTCTGAGGCTACTTAAGAACAGCAGTTAATGCCATATACAACCACGGAATGTTTTCAATGGTTCAGAAATTTTACTAAGACTTTACCTCGCTTCAAGAAAATATGAAGTCACAGCAATGACTAGAAGGCACATGACTACCATCATTAGTCTGAAAGAGCCGTGATAATGACATAAACAGGAACACCCAGGGAATCACTCCAGATTCAAACCTGGAGTGATTGAAGGAAGAGGATTATCAGAAGCCCTACTGTAAGTATTATCTGTCAAAAGGACAGGAAACCAGAACTGTCTTTTTAAAGGAATTGCCTGAAATAGCCCATATTCAGTGTTTGCCCCACCCTTCCATACCACATCTAAGTTAACCATTCCTGTAGGCTCCTTCCAAGTGCAGCATCTTTGTGCAGTGGGAGTGACCCTGTACCCAAAGATGAGAGACACCCCAAGATAACTTCAGGAAACAACTGCTAGAATTCTGTCGCATTATGTAACTAGTGTCCTTCCACTTCCCTTAAAAAAAATCCAGCAGAGAAGAATTTATCTGCATCACATCTACATTCATACTCCCCTATAAGGTGACAGATCCATTTTGCTGAGTACTGCATAAAACATAGCAAGCAAAAGTCCATCAGCTCCAGAGACCAGATGGTGGCAGACATCAGGTTTGTCCCTGGGACACATCTATTAACTGTTGGGAGCAGGGGCAGCACTGGTCAAGGATATTGAACAGAATTCAAGTTGGCAAGAAAAGAATAAGCAAAGAACTTGCAACAGATATTTGAGCTCAAATATTTGAGTCAGACCATGGCTATTTAACACCAAATCCACATTTATACATTGCACTAAACTGTCATATATCCACATAGGATACCAGTATCGTCCCACCCTTTTCTGCCAGAAGCATCCACGTAACTGAACCATGGGAAATGCATCAGGACAAACCCACTTATCCCCTCCCTTTTACAGTTTCATTAATGAAAAGGGATGGGATGAACAAAGTAACCCTTGATGAGGCATTTACTACTATCAGTTCACGGGTTCCAACTTTATCCTGACAATCCACATTTTTCCTGAAGTGTTTTAATCCTATCACTGAACAGGCAAAATTCCAACCTGTAACTCAGGGAAGAGTATGCTGCACCCAACTAGCCTCCAGATACTTTCCAAGAGACAGCTCAGAGACAGGGGCAGAACAATTACTCACATCTACACCCAGAGCTCTGGGTGAGGTGAAGCACGCAGGAGGAGTCATTTGCCTTTGTTTAGCACTGGTACATGAATAACCACATAAAAGACGTTTGACAGGATAACTGCATTTCCAACGTGTTCTTACTAATATGCAGCATGTGCTAACCGACTTGAAATCACAAAATAACCAGGTTCTTTATTCTTCATTCACTAATTCATTAGCTATAAGCATATATTCAATTCCTAGACTACTTCAGGATATTTGAAATGCTAACCTACACTGAAGTTGATACAAACTTTAAAGAATGTACACAGTTACAAACAGGAACATTACAGATGTTCAGAAACTTACAAAGTTGCCATTTAAGCTGTATTCAGAGTACTCTCGAGTTAAAGAAGCTTTTACTTCAATGAAAATATTACCTAGAGTTTGTCAATGGAAATAAGGAGAAGTGCAAGCTGTTCTCAATACTGTTTCCCCTGCTTCTCTTCTGCCTACCTTAGATTATGTTCAGTTTTAAATGGGCCAAGGAAAATGATTTCACTGCTCACTTTGAGCAGTCACCAGGGCAGATGGCACTGAAAGTTCTCATCCTTAGTTATGCTGAAGGTTTAACATCTCAAAATAGTATTCTAATAAACACACATCCACAGGTGAGACCAAAAATTTGTCACGATATAAGAGGATTTTAAACTCAACTTTTAAACTTGTTTTTTAAATTCAACTTTTTAGTCAATAAAGTTTTTCTCAAGTAAACACTTTTTAAAAATCCAATTCCTGCACTTTTTCTTTGATTTTCATCATTTTTGCTGATTAAAGTTTTCACATTTCTAAAAGCTAAAAAACAATATTCATTTATTTTACCAAGCATAAATTATTATTTTTTTTTTGTATTGATGACCGTCATACTCATATAAGACGAGCAAGCTCTTTGTAATGTGAGGGAAAAAAAGATCCCACCGATGGCATCCTAAGCTTCTGTACCTTTCTCTCCACATTTATTGTACTCCCATTCATTAGACATTTCCATCCTTCCTACATGTTCCACACATACAGAGACTTCCACTGCATCCTCACTCCACAGCAGCATGTTGCACTGCAACATACAAACCCTGTGCACAGCTCAAACACCATTTATAAATTCTGCATAGTACAATTCAAAAAGAAGCAAACTTGGTGATTGGATTCTGGATTTCTAACACAACACATCTCCTCTGCAGTCCCTGTTACACCCCCCTGCAGCCCACAGAGTGGGATTCTAAAGTCACTGATATCTATGTCCTTGTGGAGCAGCTATCTAGCTCCACCCAGTCCACTGAGGCACAGAGAAGTCATGGAGAGCTACCCTGCTCATCTGGAATTGTTTACGAATTCTGAAAAGCCCAGTAGGTTTAACCATACAGTGGTAGGACTATAACACATGTACCAACTCCCATGACCTGCTGCCCAGCAAAACCCTCAAAAGCGCTTGGTAAGGGACAGACAGCAGGAAAAACCCACCATGTATCCTTAGTCTTAAAAAGGAGTTTTTGACTTGCATATGGTTTTATAATCCCTTCAGCATAAGTACCTGAAGGAAATAAAACTCTGCATGTTAGTTAAAAGCTATATATGCAGCAAAGTACGAAGACTGGTAAATGCAGCCTTTTTCAAATGAACAAGCTATATTGTTGCCCAAAAACCTATTTCTTCCACAACATTAGCATATAAGACTACTAGAAACAATATCTAAAAATACATCTTTCTGAAACAGAGCACATCAAAAACGTTTTTGTGAAGAGTTTTGTAGCTGTAAAGTCTCTTGTACAGGAAAACTTTCTAAGATGTTCTTTCCAATGTTGGCATGAGAAGTACGAACACTTTTTCAACCAGTATGATATATTCCCCTTCGTTTCAGGATAATGGCATGCAGGGCACACAAAACAAGTCCGTCCACGTGAGGAAGGAGGAGGAAACATGTTAGTTCCAACAAGAACCCTCAGACTACTCCTGGCTTTGAGTTTGATGCCTGTATTTTCATATGGTTGGGAACTGCACACAGCCAAAACCTGAAGAGATGAACATGCAGATTCAAAGCCACTGTCACAGGAATCGAAGCCAGGAGAATTTTAGTCACAGCTGTTGTAAACACCATACATCAAAGTGCATACTTCCAGGCATTACTGATACTTTGCACCTTATACAAGTCACTTTAAAATTCTAATAAGCCTTCCCTACTCTCTATCTGAAGGTCTCATGACTCCTTATGCAACACAGGCTCTGTGCTACCTCTCCCAGTCTCCAAATTAACCTTGGCCTATATTTAAATACTGTTTCACTACAGAAAAGCCAAGCTGCCATCTATATAAATAATATCATCAACAGTCCAAGAGTAAACCGTGAAATATGGCAGAATATGGCATATTTCACCACTGAAATAGTCTTCATACAGTACTCTCTTGGTGAAAACAATAAAATAAAAACGACTACAAACAGGGGGAACTGTTCTTTTAAGAAGGAACCCTTCAGAAAACCCTTCAGTAAAGCAGCCCATGGTGTTTTATGAGACGGCTGGTCAGCATGAGCAGCACAAAGGGTATTTAATGCCCCAAACGCGTTCCTGTCAACACACCTAGTGGAACCTGACACGGCGGCTCTGAAGAGCCACGACACCAGGCATCGCAGCGCCTACACGCTGAAACAAGCATTTTTGTGGGCATTTACTTGTGCAGGAGGGCTCTGCAGCCCACGACTTGCACCAACCTCCCGCCCCGGTCCTACCCGCAGCCACCCCCCGCTGCCATCACCCCTGGTCACCAGCTCCCCCCCCCCGCCTCAGGGCGCCCCCCTCTCCCCTCAGGGCGCCCCGCGACCGTTACGGCCCCGCCGCCGCGCACCTGCGAGCCCCGCTGGCTCTGCCACTGCTTCAGCTGCTCCGCGGCGACGTCGCGGCCGTCAGCCATCTTGCGAGCTGCGGAGACCCCCGAGAGAGACCAGAGACCGAGACCAAGCGGGCAGGCAGCAAGGAGGCAGGGACGGAGGGAATGGCGGGCGGTGGGGCGGGGCCGGGCTCGCTCCCAGGCAGGAGGCAGCAGCGAGGTGACCCCGCAGCGCCTGCGAGTAGCGGCAGCCACCGCGCCTACGCCACCGCCCCCCCCTCCACGGAGCTGCGCCCACCCACCCCCGCCGTCCCGACCAATAGCCCCGCGCCCTGCAGGCAGCGCCAGCTCTGAGTGGCTCAGAGGGGTGTCAATCACAGAAGCGAGACCCCCCCCCCCCCCCCCCCCCCCCCCCCCTCGCTCCCCCCTCCCCTGACGGGGCGGGTGCGCGAGGCGGTGACCGTTGGTGCTCTGAGGGGAGGTTGGAGCCTGCTGAGGGCTCGCTCCTCAGTCAGCCTCTAACGCCTGTCATTAATCGCACCGGGGCGCCTAAGCTTGATTTTTGTCACGCGTTTTTGAGGTGTCAGAGCTGTCCAAGGCTGCCAGCTGGGCAGAAGCTGCTCAGCAGCGTCGAAAGTAACAGGATGAGGGCACGGAAAAGCAGCGCGCTCCGGGAGTTTGTGAGGCAAGGGTTGCAGCGGGAGAAAGGCTTGGGTTGCACAATCCGAGTGTCCAGGTGCATAGGTAAATGTTCATTCTTGCATCTGTACTTCAAAGGAGGTGTAGGTGATAGTTAACATTACTCATAACTCACGTGTGCCCAATTGTAAACAGTATTTCTTCGTACGCCTCAAGTTGTAACCTAAAAAAAAAAAGAAAAACACTTTCACTGCTGTTACAAACAAGAAAACCCCCTGGGTTATGTTTATAAATGAGGTAAATACAGCCCTCCTCTCAGGCACTTGCAGTTCTGCTCCTACAGCCCTTGCGTGTTGAGCTTTCTAAACCACAGCACTCAGTTTTGTCCCGTGTACTGCAACAGTAATGACACAGGGCTCTGCCTTCGTGCCTTATGGATGAGCTACAGAGGGTAAAAGTGGTTAGCAGGGGGGTATTTTTCCTATTTGTGAGGTAAATCCTTTCAGCAAGAGGAATAATCTGTCTTCAATGACTATATTACATGACATTGGGTACTCAGAAGATGGATGAAGATCTCTATCCAGCAATTGTTCTGTGGCCTTGCTCTTTGTGGTGCATAGTTCCGGATGGGGCTTCTAGACCTGAACAAATGGAAGAGACTATTTAGGCACTCTAGAATCCTAAAATGTGTATGTACCTTTCCTCTTATTAGCCCTTCGCTGATGGCAATGACTGAGGGTAATCATAGTAGATAGAAGAGTTGTCTAAACAAACAGAAATTACACAACTGGGTTTGCAGGAGTACTGGTTTATAAAAGCAACTAAGTCAGCAAGATTTTAGTGTTTTGGTTGTTGTTTTCTTCTCCCCCACCATTCTTGGTAAGAATGCTGGTACAGCTCTTTTCAGAATACACATTGCAACAATGAAGCAGAGCTGCTTTGTCTACCCACAGCCTGTCAGAAAGAAATGAAATGAGGAAAACGATTGTTTGCAAGATTATTTCTGTATTTTGTCTCTTACAAGAGACATAAAAATACTCTAGTTCATTATTTCAACCAGACAATTCTTTATCTAGTATCTGCAGTTGTATGTAAGTACAGAGGGAATATCACTAATGGTACTTCTTTTTCTTAGTGGTAAGCTCAGCAAACTACCTGTTTCCTTCTTCAGCCTCACTTGGGATTTTTTTGTTTGTTTGCTGTGTTTTTTTGTTTGTTTGTTTCTGTCTCTGAATCTTGCCATCTTTTCTTCTTTGACACAATACCCAATATCGTAGAGAAGAGCAAGAAAGGTTACCAATGTTTCTACTACTTTTATACTAAATATACATCAAACTACTGCATCTTCTGTGTAACTACTGATGAACTCCGTATATCAAATTTTCACTGTATTCAGAAGATCTTTGGTAAAGCTAAACCAGGAGTAAATCTACAAAGTTTTAAGAAGTCTTGGTACAGTGCAGGTACATCCCCTATAATATCAGCTAAAGTTAAACAACAACAACAACAAAGTATTCAAGCTTCAAAACAACATCTTATAGCAAACTTTATTTTCAATGCGGTTGGTCCCATTCTGCAAGTTTGTAGGCCTCAGCATCAGACATTTCTGAGAACATTTAATGACCGTTTCAGGTATTCATTCAGACTTAAATGGTGCTTTGCCATACAGTTTTTATGTTTTTAAAATTACTTTTAATATAAAAAGTTTTTTTCATAAGGACTTGATATTATGTGTTAAAATCAGGCAGTTGATATATGAGTTTGCTTATCCAGCAAAATGAGGGAAATGTGAACATTCATGAAAATCTTCTGTTTACTTTTCCTTTAAAGTTTAACATCACCTGTCAACAAATCTGTGTAGATAAAGTTGTTTGATACAAACCTAGTTCAAAATAAGAGTAACTTAGAGAAAGTGCTTTTCTTTCATTCCTCATAACCCTTATTTTTAACTGTAATACTAGAGTAATATATGTATGTGTATATACATACATGTGTGTGTATAAACAAGAAGAGTTACTTTATTAAAACTTTATTAAAACACCTTAGCTTTATTAAAACTGAAAAACTGCATTTGATATGAAAAGCCACACCCAAGGCTAACTTAAGTGTGGAAAAAACACAACTTTTTTCTCTCATTTCATCTTATAAAAAAATAATCCTCTGCCTTTTCAGTAAAGCAGAGAATATTGGTTTAAATTCCACTGGTAGCTTCCTGTGGGTATGTTAATTGGTTTCCCCAACCACTGCCACCATCTATTTTGATATTTGATTCCTGAGGCATTTTATTTGCCTGAGTAAGCCTCCTGTTATATATGCATTAAGTAAACAAACTTCAAACAATTTCAAATTAATCATCTCTATTTACCTGGGGAGACTGGTTCTCTGTAGCTGCGTGTCTTTCTGAGGCATAATCCAAACCACACTTCACCCTTAATTAAGATTTTGTGAGATTAAAAGTCATAATACTTAGCATTTGTGTTTTGTTTTCTGTACTTAAAGTGAGTTTAAACACAAACTACAAGGTCAGTTTCACACAGGTACACACACGCAATCGTACTGTACACAAATTTCACTCCTATTTCAGTCCTTTACACTGAAGGGAATGATCTAGAGTTAGTTGAGTAAAAGGTCAGTAGCATCTGTTGATTTGCTAATTAAGTTACATAAGCACCTAAACCTTTCATACGACAAATATCAGCCATCTTGGATGACTGACTTGGTGCCTACCTCCTGCTTATGATTAAGGCAGACTCAAAAATGTTCCCATGTTCTCTACATCTGTTGAGTAGGTGTACTTGGAGTACCTCTGCTACATAGCCAGAGCATTTACCTTCAACACAGAGCATGGAAACCACTCTGACTTTTACTTTAAAGGATTAGAAAAGAGCAGCACAAAGATTGTTCTTTTTAATACTAATTTTTAATGAAACAGATTAGTGTCTAGAATGCTTATTGCAGGATTGGGAGACTTAATTAAGTTCTCCCTGCTTCTACTAATGATATTCAAACTTATATCTTTCAGAGTATCCAAACCATCTATCTAGAGACAAGGCCTGGATATGCTCTTCACCTGTGCTATAAAGAAAAAGGTCAGAAAAAAATAAATAAAGACTGTGTTTTAGGTTTACATAATAAAAATATAGTTGATATTCTGAATATATTTTCAATCATGAAACAAATTAATGTAGTGCATATACTCCAGTTGTGAGGTAAACTATTTTAGACTCTTTAGAGTCTATTTAGACTATTTGATTTTATTATTTATACTCCAATTGCGAAGTGTTAAATTATTTTTGACACTTGAAATAATAATGGGCCCTGTTCTAGATAGACAGCCTAGGGATATTTACAGTACCTTGGGAACACCTATAAATAAGTTTTCCACCAATCCTTTTTTTTTCACAACTGAGGTAAGCATCAGGGCATGGAAAGAGCAGTAAAAGAAGAGCATATACTGTAAACAAACTAACTGTTCACTTGCAGTACAGTGGATGGGGGGGGGGATATGGTGTATACTGAAGAAAATGATTGCTATTATATTTTAGAAAACAGAGAACATTTAGTAAAAATAACCAATCAATGTCCAGCAATACAGCAGACAGAACACATGAGATAATGTTGTCAGTCTTGATTACAAAGTCACAATACACACCCAAAACAATTTTACACGTCAAACTTGCAATTAGATAGACATGAAGTCCATGCTATTAAAGGCCAACCAATATCTGGGTGACAGGTGCTAAGACATTAGACAGAGTATAAGGAGAGAAGTAGAGTTGGAATATGAGACTGAATAGTAAACTGTCAATTTGTGTATATGCTTTTGAAGTTATGTCTGAAAACATTTTACTACTTAAACTATCATGATGATAAGTTTATCATTCAGTACCTTGCATTGTAAGCTGCTTTTTTTAGTTCATATTTTCAGCCATCCAATCTAATGGAAAACACTAAAGTGATCACTTACTTTGAAAGATGTAATGTCTTTAGTAGAGGTGTACTTCAAGGAATGACCAAGAGAACAATATCAGTGCAAAAAGTAAGCATCTAGGAAGTAGAAGCTAACCTTTATGGGAAACACATGTATTGGGCTGTCAGTTGACAGAATGAGATGCTGAGGTGCATAGTGGAGAAAAAATGTGGACCTCTAGGAAAAGAAGAGAGACAGGAAAAGGAAAACAGGACCCCCCTTTTTTCATTTATTTGTAATTTTCAGCCATAAAGTCTTCATTTAAACCACTAGAGAAAGAGACTAACCTCAGAGATAGAAAAGTGTGTTAGATTAGTAATCGTTTTTAAGTTCAAACTACAGGGTTTTCTTTTTTCCTCTGCTTCATAATTCTTCATAGACTATAAAAACTTCACGTCTCTGGAGCAGGCATGTCTTCAGATTTTAATACTGCATGCAGTTGGTAAATGACAGTGGACATACCAGCCCTAGAATAAAGTATTTTTAAAAATATAAATAAATAAATATATACATATATATATATATATAAACTTTATTCATTTACATTCGTGTTTTGAAATTTCTTAATTTGCATAAGCCATATTCCTGACCATCATTATCAAGAAGCTATGTTTCGTATTTAGTACTGAAATGGAAGTCGCAATATGCTTATAACTGAATAAATAACTGAATGAAA